GCTGGACTTGAAATCCTCCTGTGTCAACGCAGATTCATCCTCGCAGAGCACCCTTGGAGAAACACCTAGAATTGTGTGTGGGCACCGTGGCCCCGCCGAGCTGGCATGTAAATTAACTGTCGCACACGCGTTCATCCCCACCCGCATGTGGAGATGCCTGTCCGCTCACTGCCCGGGCCCAGCCCAGCCTCTGGCTGTACCACAGTGTGGGGGCTCTCTGGATGGCCCCTGGGGCTGGGGGCCGGGTGGCCCACTCCTCTCTGCTGTGCATCCCCCAGGGGCCTCTTGGGCCCTAACCCTAACCCGCTGCAGGCCTGCCCGTCATCCCGTCTCCCTGTCCCCATCGCTGGGCTCCGCACCCACTCCCGGGGCCAGTCGGGAGGGGTCCTTGCCACCAGCCTGCTCTGAGCCTCAGCAGCTCTGAGACTCCTCTCTGTGCCTCAGTGTCCCTGCCTGCAAAACGGAGGCACTAAGGGTCACTACCGACAGTCGTGCACCTGGAGGCTCGCGGTGAGGAGGGACGGAGCTGCCCCTGCTGCAGAAGCGCTGGGCCGGGATCGCGCTGGGCTTATTCATTCGGGGAGGACTGTGCGTGTTTCCTGGGGACGCTGTGGCAAATTTCCACTGGTTGGCTCAAAACAACAGAAGTGTTTCTCCCACAGTTCTGGGGCCGCAAGTCTGAGATTGGGTGTCGGCAGGGCCACGCTCCCTCCGAAGGCTCCGGGGAGGGTCCTGCCTGCCTCTTTCGGCGGCCGCTGTGCGGTCTGAACGCTTCTGTCTCCCCGAACTCCTGTGTTGAAATCCTCACCGCTCAGGCGATGGTGTGGGAGGAGGGGCCTTCGGGAGGCGATTAGGTCTTGGGGGAGCCTCGTGGGGGGACCAGGCCCCAGAGGGCTCCCTGGCCCTCGCACCACGGAGGCCACGGCGCGCGGGCGCCGTCTGCGAACAGGAAGAGCCCTCGCAGGACGCTGAGTCCGCCGGCACCTGGGTCTTGGACCCGCAGCCTCCGGAACTGCGACGAGTTTCCGCAGTTTATCAGCCACCAGTCGCTGGCACTTTGTCACAGCAGCCCGGGCAGACCGAGGCACCCGCAGTCCCTGGCTTCGGTGGCCTGTGGACACACTGATCTCTGACTTCATCTTCACATCCCAGGCCTGCTCCCTGTGGCTAAACAACGCCATTTCTACACCCCATTTTTACAGCAAAAATATAATTTGTTTATTTTATTCATAAAAGGAAAGCCATTTATTGCAGGAAATTCGGAAACTACAGGAAAAATGATAAGAAATTCCCTCAACCCCCTCCCCCAGCCCAGGTGCGATTCGGCCTGAATCCTAGCCCGGCCGAGGAGTGGGGGTCAGGGCGTTTGGTTTCGGGCTTGGTGACTGGGCCTCGCGCTCGCCTCGGCCGTGTCTGCGGGCCCTTGGCGGAGGGGCCCTGCAGAGGGTGGGTGCTGGACTTTCCTAAGGAATGAAACCAAGGCCCGGCCTGGCCTGAGGAGAGATGAAGGTTCTGGACCTTTCCTCGGGCCGCCCCTCCCAGCTCCATGGGCCTTCGGAGCTGGAGAGGACCAGGCTTCCCGGGCAGCGTCTGGGTCTGGCTGTGAGGCTGCCTTGGCCGGGTGGACAGGCCCACCTTCCCCAGGGCAGGCAGCGTCCCAGGGAGAGGAGGGGAGCCGCAGGGCCCAGGGGCTGTCCTGGTGCCAGCCAGAACAACCCACGTTCGCTCTGTCCTGAGCACCCCCTGTACGCCGGGCCCCAGGCCTCCACCCGGGGAGGCAGCCAGGAGGGATGTAAGCCCGTGGGGGCCCCGTCACAAGGTGCACGGATGGGGCGGCTCCAGCAGCAGACAGATTACAGCCGGGCGTGGTGGCGTGCGCCTGTGGTCCCCACTGCTCAGGGGGCTGAGATGGGAGGATCATTTGAGCCCAGCCTGGGCAACAGAGCAAAACAATTTCTTAAAAAAAATCTTTTGACTTAGATTTTTAACCACTCCCCCACCTGTATTGCAACATTGGAGGGGCAGGGAGACAAAGGCCGGCCTGGCCAGCCATTTGCCCCTTCAGCCCTCTCCTGGCCCGAGGGAAACCCAGCCCAGACCCCACCTTTGATGTGAGAATGGAATATGGGTTTCCTGTGGCAAGGGCCAGGTGAGGCAGCTGCTGTCCCATGCCAGAGGCGGCTGGGATGTCAACGGTCTCCCCGGATGGGTATCTGTCGGGGGTAAGGATTTCATGTGCTTAGTGTTCCCCGACCTCATGCCGTAGCCATTCTGCGTCAAGGGTCTCCTGCGCGATTTGGCTGGAGATGCCAGCAAGCAAAGACGGTCACATGGGCGTCAGACATTACAAATGAAGGAAACCATGGAAGATGATCATAGTCTGAGATACGACAGGTGACATAAGCGGGGTGGGTGGGGTCTTCGGCCACGGGGACACCATCTGGGACGCCAGTGGGAGACATTTGTCCTCACTTCTTCCCTTACGGCACGGTCGCAGCTGGAATCACAGAGGCCATGCTGCCTTCTGGGGAAGCAGAGTGGCTGGGCTGGGAGTGACACTTCCAAGGCGGCACATTGCCGGCACCCAGCAGAGACAATGCCATAATTTAGGAGGCAGATTTGTTGGGATTTGTCAGATCCGGTCTTTGACACATGCATGTTCCTTGAATTGCCAGGAAAAGTTCTTGGGGAGAAAACCATCGGAAAACTGTTTTCTTGGCCCCTTGGAGGAACAAGGCGTGGCTGGGTCGCAGGATGGTGCTGGGTTGAGCACAGGCCAACACCCTCTTTCCCGACCCTCGTGGGGAGACGTCCTGCTCTACGTACTGCGTGCCGGATGGCAGCCCCCAGCAGCTGCGTCTCCGACCTTGCTCTGGAAGCACTGGGCATCGTTCCTGCCTATTGCTGGACGTATGGCTGGGCTCTAAACATTCTTATCCTTTATGTTGAGTGAACACTGACCGTCAGGCAGAAAGAAAGTTCCCTTGGAAGTGCCCTGTCCTGAACAGCGGTGGAGCCGGCCCACCCGAGAGGGGTGTCTTTGTCAGTGGGCTGTGTAGGTCGGGCTCCGTCCTCCGAGAGCCTGTCTGTCTGCAGGCTCATTCCTCTGGCTGGCCCACCCCCAGGGCTGGGTGCTGCAGCACAGGTGCTACGTGGGGGCCGTGGGCTCACCTGACCTGCCATGTGCCTTCAGGACCATGTGTGGGTGCTTTGGGGCAGGCTCTGAGCGTTCAGGTTGACCAAGGTGGACCATGGCGCTCTGGGGGCTGCTCTGTGCAACAGGGGGCTGGCTGGTGGGCTTCCTCTGCAGCCTGAAGGGAGGGGACATGCCCTTGTGGGGGGGGACTCAGGCTGGGGCTCCTCGCCCGGCTCAGCCAGCAGGTGGGAGGTACCTACAGCACAGAAGCATTTTTAGAGCAGACGGGTCAGGAAGCATTTCGTGTGCAGCCGGGTTCTCTTGTGCCAGCTTCTGAGGGACCCACTAACGGGCACCAGGCTGGCCTTGCGGGAGCCAGGGCCCGTCGCAGGCGCTGCTGTGCGTCCTTGGCTTGCGCATGTCGTCAGCGATTGCTTGTATTGCTCCAGGACGTGGTACAGCCCCAACAAAGCAAGGATGTTGAAGTGCAGGGGTGTGTGCAGATGTGCATCACCTGCGGGCACACGTGTGCGCGGATGTGCATCGCCGGGGGGCACACGTGCGCGCGGATGTGCATCACCTGGGGGCACACGTGTGCTGCCGCGTTTATGTGTCTGTAGGCGTGTGTCTCTGCGAAAGTTCAAGAACCAATCTTAGGGGGTTTCATAAGGGGCTGGGGTGGCGGGGCAGGCATTCACGGTACATTAGCACATTGCAGAGCTTGGTTACCGGCGAAGCGGCAGACAACAAATCTTCCATACAGGACGACGTGGAGGCCGAGGGCGTCAGTGTCTGCACGCCCTCATTTCGGCTGTATTTGCACCAAAGTTGCCATATATACATAAACACACACACATATATAGGCTTTAGCAGGACTGAAATGAAAAACAAAAGCAGAAACAAGAAGAGATGTAGAATTCACAGTTCCCATCTACGCCGAGCTGGATTCAAGGAGAGATGAGAATTTTACAGGTCAAAAATGAATTACTCCAAGATGGGAAGAAATATTCTGGAATTTACCCAAAGGGAGCAAATGCTGGGAGGAAACTGAACCCAAACACCCGTGTCAAGTCTATGAAGCTCGGCCTGTGCAAGTGGCCTTCAAAGATCAGCTCTCCAGGAGGTGACTGTGTCCCTGGAGGGGAGCGGGGAAGGAGCCCGTGGCCCGGGAAGACATGCAGCAGGCGTCTCCCCGGCTTTCTGTAAGTCGAGGCTCCAGGAGTCCACACATCTGCGGGGGGTGCGACAGAGCTCAGGTGTGTGCCACCGTCGCGGGCAGGAGCAGAAGCTGGACCACGAACAAGCGGAGGGCGGGCCCCCGCGTGGGCACGGCGCCACCAGAACGTCTCGGCGCAACGGCGAGAAGGAAGGGGCGGCGCTCCTCCGCGAGAGCCCGCAAGCCTTTCCCTGTCTAAGGATTTAAATGTAAGTCCCCACTCCCTGTAAACGGGCCCCCCAGTGATAGCTGTGCCCTCGTGGGTTGTGCCTTTGCTGTGACACACATGGCACCGAGGTCTCCCCTGTTCAGAAACACAGGACACGCGCAGGTCCTTGCGCTCAGGGCACCGTGGTGACATTTAATGTGAATTTACACGCGTGTACGTGTTGTATCGCACCGGGCAGCTGCTCTAAGTCGCGTCTGCGGACAAGCACAGCGTCCTTCACCGCCACAGGAGAACTTGCCGGAAGCAGCCCCGGGATACACAACTCTACCGAAGAAAAAGTACAGTACCCGTTTCTGTATAAGAATATATTATTTAAAAGACAGTTTAAAAATAAAAATTCTGTACAGTATCATGAATTCCTTTGTTTTTCAGTGAACAAAACGGTTCTTAGAAAACACGGTCCTGGCGTCGGGCGCGGAGAGCAGCATTCCCTGCGGGGAGGACGCCGCGAAGCCCGGGCGTGCGAGCGGCAGCCACGGCCCTCCGCCGTCCTCAGGTGCGGTCTGCGCGGGGAAGGAAAAGGACCACGGGTTGGTTTGTGTGCGGACCGAGCGCACGCAGGCAGGATCAGGCGCGGCGCAGGGTTACACACAGACCGTTTAAAGAATGAGGCCAGCAGACATACTGCTGAACACATTTAGGGAAAATAAAACAGCGCTGATCCCTCTTCAGAGCCACAGCATCATCTGGCTTAAAAATTAAATGCCAGCGTTTCCTGAGCACTTCGTACGGACCCGCGCTCTGCTCATCCGATTGCTGAGACGGCAGTGGGAAGCGGGACGCTGCCTCTCATTCGGAGCTTAGGGCTCTGGCTTCAGAGAAGCTGAGACACTTGTGCATGTCGCTCAGCTTGCAGGCAGCAGGGCTTGGCCTCAAAACAGGCATGCTGAATGCCAGAGCCCATCACTGCTTCTCTTACAAAGCCAAGTCCGCCTTCTCATGCCCTGGGCCTTGCGCTTGGAAAGCCGAGGGGCTTTGGAATCATCTGCTGGACTCGTGTATGGTGTGACCTTATTACAAGGTGGCCAAGTGGGACGCTTCTGCATCTCACGTGGACTCAAGGAGTGGCCAGTATCAACAAGTGCAGAGGAAAATGCTTAGCGCGATGTAAGTACTTTATTTTTGAAAAGCTTTAAAGCTTAAGTGCTTCGAATGCACTTTTTAAAAGTGCAGAAGCTGATTAGTAATGCTTTTCTACTAACTAAAGTATGTTCTCCTTTCAGAGCCTAATTCTAACTATTAGATGTGAAGAATAAAAGTTTCACTTATTTAAAAAATTGCAGAATTCAGATGTTCTCCCCTCTCTCCCTCCATTCCTGCCTTTGCTTCCGTCCTTCTTCTATGATTTGCGGCCCCTCCCGCTTTAGTCTGAAACGCAGCGAGACAGTTCAGAATAGCCTTACCTTCGCTTTTTTTCACATCTCTGCTTTTCTCTCTGGATGTTTCAGGGCCCCCGGACGTCAAGCTCTCAGTCTTTTTCTGTAACTAGACAGCGCAGAGAAGGGCGGTCAGCTCTGGGATACAGGAGGTGAGCAAGAGCAGAGCCTTCTCCTGCATCGGTTTCTGCTGCCTGAGGCCCCGTGTGCCCAGACACAGCGCAGCGTCTCTTGCAGAGACGGCCCTTCACCACCTTCCCGGTTATCCGCTGCCCACGTGGGGACCACAGCTGGGGAAGCCCTGACTGAAGGGGGCCTTGCAGGGGGTCAGGGCACAGAGAGCCCAGCACGGGACAAGGGGTGGGTGGCTGGGGACGCTGTTCTAGCCGCGTTGGCCCCTGGAGAGAGGCGGGCAGGAGGGCGGACGGGGGCGCTCCGTGGTAGCTGGACGGCAGGCAGGGGGCTGCAGAAGCATCCACTGGCTCTGACCTGCACGCCTGAGCCTCTCTTGAGGAGCAGCATCCATCCAGCGGCAGCCTGAAGCCAGGCCTGGGCTCCCTGACCCGAGAGGTGTCCAGGTGCCCTGTGCGTGCCCTATGCCTGGAGGCTGGGATGTGGGTGGTCACTTTGTCCCTGTGCTGAGGGCAGCATCCCTTTCCACGCCATGTCCTCCTCTGAGCAAGTCAGCCCTGGAGCCAGGGCGAGGGGCGGGCCCTGCTCAGAGGGGCCCTAAAAGCTGTTCAAACACCCGAGCCTGTCAGGGTGCGCGTGGTATCGGTTGCCACTGTGACTCTCACTGTGACTCTTGCTAATGGCTCGGCGAGCAAACTCCCTGGAAGGAGCGCCGAGCATGGACGCAGACGTGGCTGTGGTTTCTGGGAGCGCACAGAGTCCCCAGTTTTATCGGGCATGGCCTTCAGAAGAGCGGAAGTGCTCCCGGCCGCCGGGCCACTGTCAGTGGAGCCCTGCGGGGCACGCCCAGGGTCTGGACGAGGAGCGTGGTGCGGAGCCCGCTCTGGCGGGCTGCCCCGAGGAGGACTGCCTTCCGAACCCTCCGTCCTACCTCTTTCATGGCGTCGTCGATCCGCTTCAGCTCCTCATAGCGGTCCCGGGACTCCCACAGGGGCTGCAGCATGAGCTCCTCGACCATGGGGAAGAGCTGCGAGACACAAACCGTTTGCTCAGACAGTGCATCGGCCTGAAGGCGACAGGACGTTTGAGAAAAACAGGTGTCAGGTCCTCTGTGTCCAGCGGAGCCCAGAGGACACTTACGTCCACCCCGTGGCACTTTTGGTGGCCTCCTGGGTTGGGGCCTCTGGGGAAATCCACGTGGCCGAGGCGTGGAGGACACTGGGTCAGTCCTGCTTCCCGGGGACCCTTGTGCCAGCCACTCCCCCCACCTCCAGGCTCGAGATCTGTGTCCAGCCCTTGCTGCCCCTGGGGTGGAGATGCCAAACCCCCCCGCCTCCCGCCTTCTCGGCCCCAGCCCCGTGAGATGAGGGCAGGGGACAGGTTTGGAAGTTCTTACAAAGGTGCAGGGAAGGGGAGCTTGCAGAGGCCGCTGGGCTGGGGGTCCTGGGGAAGGGAAGGGCTGGCAACTCTGAGCCCCGCAGCCTTGGTCCCAGTCGTGCTGGGTGGGGAGAGTCGGGGGGCAAGAGGGTGAGTTTTAGACATGCTGAGGGGTCAAGGTGGGGGCCTCGGCAAGCAGCCACAGGCAGCCCTGGGGCCCTGCAGGGAGCTGGACGGGACTGTGCCGTGGGCAGACAGGGCCACCGGCTGGGGTGGGGTGAAGGCAGGGATCTGGGCTCTGGGTGGAACAACCTGAGGTCACTGATCCCGGCTGGTTCCTCGAGGGGCAACGACACAGCCTGATGGTGGGACGCAGAGGGAGGGCCAGGCGGTCAAGAGAAGCAGCCGTGCTGCCCGCTGGGTCCTGAAGGCCAGCAGGGGTGGCGCGGGGGTGGGGGAGGAGCCCTGATGGCCCAGCAAGGCAGGCTGGGCAGCTCCGCAGGGGTGCTGGGTAGGGGGCCAGGCTGCAGGGGAGCCGGGGAAACGGCCTGGAGAGTGGCGACCGTGAGAGCAGGGTGAGGAGGCTTCTCAGGGCTCGTGTGTGTGTGTGTGTGTGTGTGTGTGTGTGTGTGTGCTGTGCGTGTGCACGTGTGTGAGCACATGCCTGTGTGTATTTCTCAGGGTCAGGCCTCGGCATGTGGTGACAGTTACTCACCTTGGTCACCGTCTCGAACATCGGGATCAGGACAAACTTGATGAACCCAATTTGGGCCGTAGCTTTGGTCACTTTGTCCCGGTCCATGAACGGGGCCACAGGGAGGCCTTCCGACTTCTCGCGGTCGCTCTGCAGGGAACGCAGCAGACGGCGGCGACATTAAGGACAGAAATCCCACGGAATGTGGACCGCAGTGCGCTCGCTCGTCTCAGGGAAGGATGAAGTGAGCTGATTGGCCAACAGCCAACCGCGCCACTCTACGACGCGTCGGCAAGGACGAGGGAGAGCCAGCTGCCCGGGCGCCGCCACCCGGGCTCCCTCCTGCCCCCCAGTCTGGCCTCTTGACTTTCAGGCAGTTTGCTGACAAGTCCACCCCTGAAAGTGGCTCCATTAGTGGTGACAGGTGGCAATTTCACAACATTAGCTGTTCTGGGATGTCACTGCCTTTCAGGTTTCAAATTATGGCCTATTTTGTTTCTGACGTGCGCCTGCCGGGAAGGCTTTCCGCAGGCTGGTGAAGCCGCCGGGTGGGAGCGGGAAGGCCTGTCCCCACTGCCCCCCAACCCCCTGGTGCCCTCCAAACACGGGCTTTGCTGAACGGGGCTGATGGTGATCGCGGGTTTGACTGCTTTGCAAGACTCTTACCTGCATGAAATACTCTTCTAATAAGCAGTCCACCCAAGGTTCTGCGACTTCCATGGGACGGACCTCGTTAGAGATGTCGCAGCATTTTATCAAAATCATCTTCAGCTGAAAAAAGAGACTCTGGCATTTAGGCACGGGAGGGAGGACGTGACGACCTGCCACTGCTGGTCGGGTCTGGACCCGCCGTCACAGGCAGAGGCCGGGGACGAGGTGCTGGGCTGGGGGTCACTGAGGAAGGACGTGCTCCCTCCCTCCAATGCACATGGACCTTTGAGGTCCTGCTCGGGTCCCCTCCCTCCAGCTTTCCTGGCGCCCCAGCCCAGGCAGCGTCCCCACAGCCCTGCCCCGTGCCTGGCGCATCCTGCCTGGTGCTCTTCCCAGATGGGTGCGTTTCTCACCTCCTGAGCAGGCGGAGGAGACCAGGCCCCCTCCGAGCCTGGCAAGTGGGGTACACGGTGGGCACTTGAGCGGCAGACAGGTGAGGCCAGAGGGTCCAGCCAAAGCGTTTCCACCTGAACCAGCCAGGACCCGCCTCTGGGGCTGGTGGTGGAGGGCTAGCGTCCCTCGGCCTTGCCTTGTGCCAGGCACAAGTGACTGTCACCCGGAGTCACCAGCCTTCCAGAGCAGAGTGTTGGCTACTGCTCAGGGTCTGTGAGGGGCACGGCCTTGAGCCCTGGGCCCCAAATCTGCCTGTTTGGTTTGGGGAACGTGATTTGGCGAAGGACAGCTCAGTTCAGCTCGGGTCTGCACGAGGCACAGCAGATTCATGCCACCCACCCTCAGCGGGACCTCAGGGGGACCCGCGGCCCCTTACCCCTCCCCTCACCGGCCTTCCTTGCTGGGCCCAGGCCGTGACCCAGGCCTTTCTTTATCTCCTCTGGGGGATGCCGGCTCTGGAGCAGAGGCAGTTACAGCCTTCGCCTGGCGGCCTGGGGGAGCTGCCCCCACAGACCCGGTGCATGCCAGGGCATCGCAGTCTCGGGGGGCCAATGCCCCAGGTTCCAGCGGCCACACTGCCACGCACACCCCATCCTGCCCGTGCTCCCTGCTTGGAGATCTCCTTTCACGTAGGACCCCCCTGCCAGCCGCCCCACGTGTCCACAGAGGCACGTGCCTCCGCCCGGGCTCCCCGCAGCACAGCGAGCTGGGTCTGCGCTGCCTGTTGCCTGCCCCTGGCCTGGGGCCCGTTCTGTGGGACAAGATGGAACCCTGGGAGCCGGGCCGCATCTGCTCTGGCCTGCACGCCTGCCTGAGCGAGTAGAGGCTCGCAGAGACTTCCGGTTTGGCGTGTTGCCAGATCGACCCCCTCACACCTGGCACCCGGCCTACCGGCCTCCCGCCCCCTGCCCCATCTCTTCCCTGGCCTCTCCTGGCATCCCAGAGGGAGGACGGAGGCCCCCGGTGAGCATGATGCCCATCTCCGGACCCCTCCCTGCTGTCGCTCCTCCAGCCCTTCCTCACACCTCTGAGGATAAAGCGGCACCTCCGGGCTCCGCTGGACTTTCAGGATGAGGAAACTGCTTGCTGGGGGCCACCCTGACCGCCTCTGTCCCTGGCTCCCTCTCAGGGAAGGGGCTTGGAGAGGCCAGGTGTGGGGGTGCATTTGCCCCCTGCCCAGTCGCGGAACCCACCAGGGCGCTTCTCCTCTTGAGCAGACTTTGGGAATCAGCTGCCCTTCGGCTCCACAGAGACGCGGGCCCCAAAGACTGGACCTGCCGGGCCTGGATGGCTGGAAGTTCAGCCTGATCTACCAGGAGTGTCCCTGTTAAGCAGCCTCTCTGGCAGTGGAAAGTGACACGATCGATTGACTTTCAGATGGGGAGGCCAGCAAGTACACGTGATGCTCAAGCCAGACTCCGCGTAATTCACTTTCTCTTTGAAGGCTGGGCAGGGCGTTCTTGCATGTTTCTCTTTGTAATGGGCAGACACTGGTGGACTCAGCACACCCTTCTCCTTGGTGAGGCCCTGCCCTGGCTGTAGGGGATGCCAGAGTCGGGACGCGGAATCGGGCAGTGTGGAGTCCGGCCCACCCCAGCTCTGTGTGCGGTGCCTTCACGGCAGAACCAGGGCCAGGAACCAGAGTCAGCTTCGTGTCTTCTTCAAGTTAAAAAGAGATGGAGGGGCAGGGCACGGTGGCTCACACCTGTAATCCTAGCTCTCTGGGAGGCCAAGGTGGGAGGATCGTTTGAGCTCAGGAGTTTGAGACCAGTCTGAGCAAGAGTGAGACTCCGTCTCTACTAAAAATAGAAAGAAATTGGCTGGACAACTAAAAATATACAGAAAAAATTAGCCAGGCATGGTGGCGCATGCCTGTAGTCCCAGCTACTTGGGAGGCTGAGGCAGAAGGATTGCTTCAGCCCAGGAGTTTGAGGTTGCTGTGAGCTAGGCTGACGCCACGACACTCTAGCCTGGGCAACAGAGTGAGACTCTCTCTCTCAAAAAAAAAAAAAAAAAAAAAAAGAGATGGAGGAACAGAAAGTGCTGCCCCCAACCTCAACGGAGAGGTCCTCCAGAAGGCGAGGCCCCTCTCAGGCTTTCCTAGCGAAACCCTTGACCTTGAAAACCAGGTCCACACACCTCGTTCCAAGGCAAGGCTGAGAATCTTGGCTTGTTGGTTTGTGTCTGAGCTGGGTGGTAGGACTCTCATCCTGCCAGCCCTGTGGGAGGCAGAGCAGCCCACTTACCAGGGTCATGTGCTCCTCGTTGCTGTAGTCAAAATTCTCCAATTTTTCTTTGAAAGAATCCATAATTTCTGCATGCCTCGCCATGTCGGTGGCCAAGATTAATGTGATCATTCCCTGAGTAGGGAGAGGATAAAGTGTTGACACAGGGCACGATCTCAGCAATTATTCCACAGGTGCCTACAGTGTACTGAGCCCCTGGACACGTTGTTTCATTTAGCCTCAAGCCAACTCTGCATGTATCCATCCTCTATCCATCCACTTGTTCACACATCCATCCATCCATCCACCAATCCACTTGTCCATCCACCCATTCACTTGTCCATGCATCCATCTAACTAACCATCTACTTGTCCAAGCATCCATCCATCCAACCATCCACACATCCACCCATCCACTTGTCCATGCATCCATCCATCCAACCATCTGCACATCCATCCATCCATATATCCACCCATCCATGCATCCACACATCCATCCATTTGTCCATGCATCCATCCATCCAACTTGTCCAAGCATCCATCTAACCAACCAGCCACACATTCACCCATCCACTTGTCCATCCATCCATCCATCCATCTACCCACCCACCCATCTATCCACTTGTCCAAGCATCCATCCATCCAACCATCCACACATCCATCCATCCAACCATCCACCCATCCATGCATCCATACATCCATCCATTTGTCCATGCATCCATCCATCCAACTTGTCCAAGCATCCATCTAACCAACCATCCACACATTCACCCACCCACTTGTCCATCCATCCATCCATCCATCCTTCCACTTTTCCATGCATGCATCCATCCAACCATCCACACATCCAATCATCCACATATCCACCCATCCATCCGTCCATCCATCCACCCATCTGTTAATACCCATCCACCTATCCATCATCCATCCATCCCACAAACATTTACAGAACACATCTGTGAGCTAGGTATGGTGTTCTACTTTTCCAAGAAAATAAAACCACAAGCATCAAATACAGAACCCAAATCAATCAACACAGGTAAACTCAAGTGTATATTTTGAAGGGGGGCATTGCTTGCATTTTGAACTATGCAATTTTTCTGTAAAGATTTAATTATATTTTTAGTGAATTTTCAGTTATACCTCAAATCTTCAATGACAAAATATTTTTAAAAATTGGGACAACTGATTTTACCCCTAGAAGAAAGTCTTTTTTTAAAGTCAGGAAAGCATTTGCAGCAGGACAACCCTTGAGTCCCCACGGTGGTGCTATGAGGACGATGCTGTCTGTAGGTGGCGATGCCTTGGATCAGGTACCCACTCCCTTCTTTTTCGGGATGCTCTTCTTCTTTTATTTTTTTTAAGCGAACATGGGATTTAATGGCTTATGTAAATGAAAAGGCCGAGGGCATAAGGTATGGCTGGATCCAGGTGCTTACATGACGTCAGCAGACATCTGTCCCTCTGTGTGTCTCGCTGTTTTCTCCTGGTTGAAGTTATTCTCAATCGAGTTCTTTCTTTGGATTGGCAAGGTGGCCCCCAGCAGAGCCAAGCTAACATCCTATTGGTTTAGCAACCGTGCGAGGAAAGAGAGAGTCTCTCGCTGAACATTCTAGGAAAGGCCCTGGGGCTGCCTCTCATTCTGGCTTGGCCCACCTCTAGCCAATCACAGTGCCCGGAGTTGGGGATGTACGAGGTGCGGTGTGGTGATTGGTCAGGTCCGGAACTGACTCGACGCTGGGGAGGACTTCCGGTTCCGGGCAGACCCGCCGCCATTTTCCCGCCACCGGGCCAGGAGCCCGCACTCCGCCGGCTACCGCCCTCGCCCTGCCTGGGTTCACCCCAAGGTCCCCGCTGCCGCCAACGCCGCCGTTGCCGGCTCCACAGCCCGCGCTCCCGAGGCGCCTTCGTGTTCCTCACGCTCCCCGCGCCTGCGCCGCCCGTCATGGCGGCGCTCTCTGAGGTGCGCCAGAACTACCACCCGGACTGCGAGGCCGCCATTAACAGCCACATCAACGCGGAGCTCGGCGCCTCCCGCGTGTACCTCTCCATGGCCTTCTACTTCGACCGCGACGACGTGGCCCTGAAGCACTTCTCCCGCTACTTCCTGCGCCGGTCCCAGGAGGCGAGGGAGCACGCGGAGAAGCTGATGGGCCTGCAGACCCAGCGCGGCGGCCGCGTCAGCCTCTGCGACGTCAGGAAGCCCGAGCGCGACGACTGGGAGGGCGGGCTGCAGGCCCTGGAGCGCGCCCTCCGGCTGGAGAAGAGCGTCAGCCAGAGCCTCCTGGAGCTGCACCAGCTGGCCACCGACAAGGGCGACCTGCAGCTCCGCGACTTCCTGAAGAGCCGCCACCTGCACGAGCAGGTCCGGGCCATCAAGGAGCTGGGTGGCTGCGTCGCCAACCTGCGCAAGATGGCGGCGCCGGACGCCGGGCTGGCCGAGTACCTCTTGGACAAGCTCACCCTGAGTGGCGGCGACGAGAACTGATCTGGGCCTGTCCTCACAGCTATGGGTAACTTGCCACGTCCGGCCACCAGCCAGGCGTGCACACTGCCCTTTCAGAGTGTTCACTTAAGTTTTGACCTTTCAGTTGTACCATCGCTTCCAATAAAGTTATGTGGTTCTTAAAGCAAAAATAAATAAATAAATAAATAAAAATCTACCCCTCTGGATGCCTCCTCGGAAGTCTCAAAACACTAAGTCTCACTACAACTTCTGTCACTGCAAGGGCAAATGGTCTGAAATTCCCTATGTCCAAGCCTTTTTTTACCCTCCCCTCTCACTCTGTGTGAGCTACAGTCTGGCTCAAATCTTCCTATTACACATCCTAACCCTTCCAATCTCAGCCCTGCCCCGTGCAGGTCTCCCCAACGAGACCTCTCTCTGCCTAACCCCAGCCTGCCCCCGTCCTCTTCCCAGCCCCGCCACTCCTGTTCTCATTCTGCTCAAGTCGCGGGACCCACAGACTCTACCAGAAGTGGTTTATACCCATTCAGGGAGGTGACTGGGGTGGAGGGGACGCTCTTCTGACACACTGCACTGGGGCGAGTTCTACACTCGGGGGGGTGTTCACTTGCTTGGGTTCTCCAGGTCCTGTCTTTGGAGGGGCTCCCACTGGGCAGCCGCCAGGGTGGCAGCGGCAAATGTGGCATTCTCTCTTCGCGGTTGCCCCTTTACCTACTGCAGAAGAAGATTCGCGACAGCTAATCCTAACCACACGCGGCACATGTGGGCAGGGGGTGCGTAAACGTGGAAGAGGCCAGAGAGCCTACGGATAAAGAGGAGATAATTGTCCCAGGAATCGGCGATTCAATGACGAATGTAATAAGCACTACGTTTAGCTTCAAACTTCCTGGGCGCGTAGACACATCGGGAGACGATGGTTTGTGAGGCTGTTGCTCTCTGATAAAGTGAAGCTTTTCAGCTCTCTGCGGGGAGAGGAGTGTTTTCCCAGCACCGGATGCTAAAGTCTATCAGCTGCACCTTGAAGGAAGGCCACGTGGACTCCGAACGGGCGCGGTTTGCATCCGTGGTGTGGCAGAAGGCGGCTCCCTGTGTGGGCTTCCTGGGGCTGCCATATGGTACCAGACTGGGGGCTTAAAGCAACAGGGATTTGGTCTCTCACAGTTCTGGACGCCAGAAGTCCAAGGTCAAGATGCCGGCAGGGCCACGCTCCTTCTAAAGGAGGGTGGATCCTTCCTCATCTCCTCCAGCTCCTGGTGGCCACAGGTATTTCTTGGCTTGTGGCTGAATCGCTCCAATCTCTGCCTCTGTTGTCATGGGGCCTTTGCCTCTGTGCCTGTGTCTTCTCTTCTGTTTCTTAGAAGGACGCTTGTCATTGGACTTAGAGTCCACCTGGGCAGTCCATGCTGATCTTATCCAGAGATCTTAAGTGCAGATGGAAAGACCCTTTTTCCAGATAAGATCACGTTCACAGGAGGTGGCGGTATCTTTTTTGGGGGCAGTGGTGGCTACAGGTCAACCCACTACACTTCTCCCAGAGCTCACTCCAAGGTCTCTCCTCCCCTGCAAATGTGGAGGGTGGAGCATGGAATTAGGGTTCCATGGGGATGCCCCGTGAGGAAGGGGGTGTTATTTTGGGGGGTTGGGTAGTCTTCCTCTTGTGCAGGTGCCCTCTCATCCCCCTCCCATTGTGCCCTAAGAATCAGTAAGGTCCCTTATCACAGGTGGCAGCAGGGCTGACAGGGCTATGGGTGGCAGGTGACAGCAGCTAGGGGTTATGGGGCAGTGGTCAGCTCTACCAGGTCAGATGTAGCAGACCTGTCTGTCCAGGCAGGTGACCCACCCAACCTCCCTGAGCCTCAGTTTCTTGGCTGAAAAGTGGACAAAGGACCTATCATGAAGGGAGCGGTGAAGGCCAAATGAAATGGCAGCTGGGACGTGCAAGTCAGTGGACGGCCACGTGTGCGTGGCCACAGTGCCTTCCTCTTGGGGCTCCCCTCTGGGCCCTGAAGGAGGTGGGGAAGGAAGGCATGTTCCCCAGGGCCCCTGGTGGGCGCTGCTGTGACCAGGAGCTTGTGAGAGCCCCCAGCCACTGGAGAGAGGGCTTCTGCTCTGCCTCCTGCTCTGCCCCCACCATGAATGTCCCCCCCTCCAGTTGGCAGGCCCTTGGCCCTGCACACCTGTCTGATCTGCTTGAACTCATCTGGTGGCACGTTGGAGAAGATGTTGCACTCGGGCTGGGCGAGGATCTGGAAGGCCACAGCGCAGTGGTGGTTCTCTAGTGGCGAGATGTCGTTGTAGCGGACCGCCAGCTCTGTGCGGGCGTTGATCTGGTACCTGGGGGGCCGGGGGGGAGCAAAGGGAGGCTCAGGCACCTTCCCCAGGGACCTGCATGGCAGGGAGGCTGGAAGGAAGTGCGTGGCTTAGGACTCACTTCTGCCACCTCTGCTGCCCTGGTAACGAGAGGTCCCCAAGTGTATATAGTCCTACCAGACAGACACCACTGAGGAACCCAGATTCTCCCTGGGACAGTACCCTGAAGGCATCGTGGCCTCTTGTGAAAGCTGTCACGTTTTCAATATGAGCCAAAGGCAGGCACCTGGGGAAAAACCAGGCCGCACTTTCGCGTCAGAGGCTGTGGGCGTGGCCTCTGAGCTGGCCTGTGCCATGCACGGCCATGCCTTCGAATCCACCCTGGCAAACGGTGGCAGGGCTCTCAGGGATATTTGACGTCACCCCACAAACACATGTAAATTCAACAGAAAGGACTGATGTATCACTGTTTTCTTTTAAAAGGCTCCCCAGCTGTCAGGGGAGAGCCTATCAGCCCTGCCCCCAGACCAGTTTGCAGATGGAGCGGTCGATAAAGGGCTCCAAACCCGTGCACGTGGCCCAGACTTGATCAGTCGCGTGGGGTGGAGCTGTGTGGACGGAGGCAGTAGCAGAGCAATAGGCCGTAGAGCTTGGCCTGTTGGCCTGTTCTCCTGGCCCCCCCACCCCACGATGGGCCCCCCACACCCGTTCCTCTGCAGCTCCTTCCTCCACCCGCTCCGGCCCTGTTGGCGGCAGGCAGGGAGGCTGCCCCGGAAGCAGCGTGCTCTGGGGCCCAGCGCTGTGGAGCCATCGCTGGGTTGTGGGGCCCCATTCCCTGCTTGTGGTGGCAGTGTCGGCACTGCCAGGGCTCTGCTGTGCATGAGCTGAACACGGAGCCACGACCTCACAGGTGTGGTGGCTCCTGGCGTTTAATTGCCCTGAACGTTCCTGCTCAGGGGAGGCCCAAGGCACTGGACAAAGTCCCAAAGCCAGCAGAAGCCATGTCCTACGGAGGCAGAGCTAGGGGCTGGGGAGCGCTTTATCGACAGCTCCATCTGCAAACTGGTCTGGGGGCTGGGCTGACAGGCTCTCCCCTGACAGCTGGGGAGCCTTTTAAAAGAACACAGAGAGGAAACAACCACTCACTTACGTGTTGTTGTAGCCTGGATGGTCCAAGTCGTGGCAGATGGCCGCCGTCATTAGGATCAAGATGTCCATTTGGGAAAACTTCTCCTGGATTGGAAAATAAGGTTTTTGCCCTCTTCACTCCAAAGGTGGGATGAGATGAGGGGCTGGAAACAGGTGGGAGATGAGTGGTGTGGATGGGACGAAGCCCCCTCCGGCTCTCACGAGCTCCTGGCCTGGTGGGAAGGACACGCTGTACTGTGGGGCGGGGTGAGCAGGTGGGGACACTTGCTCGTGTCATCCCAGGAGTGGCCTCGCCCACTGGGGCAGCTGATGGCAACATGCGGGGTGTTTCCCAGGAGGGGGAGGAGAAGCTGGCCCCCGCCTGTCGCTCTTTTCGGGGGACAGAAGCTGCCACTCACTGGAAGCCACCCCCGTCCCCAAGAATGGAGGTGAGTGACGGGCGGCAGGACCCACCTGGAGACCGCAGAGCCAGACCATACTGTACATCATCTGTGCCACGCAGAAGCAGTGCCGGAAGTTGTGGAAAGGGTTGTTCCTGTAGTTGTCGTGCACGCAGAGCTGCGAGAGAGGCGAGGGCTGTGCACCTTTGCCCCCCGATGGTTTCGGATACTCTTGCCAGCACCTCGTGTGCCCCGTGTTTACTGCAGGTCTGGACGGGTGGCCGGGAGCTGAGAGCACCCACGGGCCACTATGGCTCCTGGGGCGGGTGGGGGATGCAGCTCCCACTGGGGTTTCACCTGGGGTTGGGGACCGGGGTGTCCCTGGAGGTGTCTGATAAGCCACCCTGGGGCACGAAGCTAGGGTGTGGGGCAGGGGGACTCCAGGAGGGGCTCAAGGCCCCTGGGCACCGTGAAACCTCAATAGGTTTTTCCTATTCGGTTCCCAGCAGTGTTTTACTTTTTTAAAAAATTCTGCCGCTAAACACACTCATCCACACACGTGCACACACGCACATGCTCGCACGTACTGCTGCTGGGGCACGTGTTGCTTCACCTAGTAACATCGTTATTCCTCGCTCGTCCGAGCAGGAGCTGGGGGAGAAGAGCACTGGTGGGAGGATGAGCAGAGAGCGGCTCGGTGTCCTCACAGAACTCCAAGGACCTGCCGCCTCCGCTGGACCTTGTCAGGACAGTGCCCAGATGATCCGTCCCCGCATGACTGGGTGACACTACGTGCCCAAGAAGGCCCGGCGGGCCTGCACTTACCAGCCACCGCTTGAGCGTGATGGGGTTGATGCTGAAGTCCCTGGCCAGGCCGAGGTCGTGGTACATGTGCTCCAGGCAGCTCAGCATCTGCGGGCACAGGGCAGGTGAGTGCCCCATCCCCACAGGGCCCCCGGAGCAGGGCCCGGCCAGGGTGTGGGCAGAGAGGCCTCTGCACGGCGCTTTCAAGACACCCAGGTAGGGGGTGGTTTGAGAGTGTCTGGGGGTCTCCTGGGGGTGGAGGGGCCGGTTCGGAAGTTGACAAGAGTTCCATGCAGGAGGGGACAACGATGGGGTGAGGTTGCCCCCACTCTCAGTGACCCCCCCCAAAAGGGTTTTATTATTCCTACACTTGGAAAACAATCTTAGTGGATCGACATCACAGTTTCAGGTTCTAGGACGAGTTCCATCCGCGCACTCCTGGGAACTGGGTGCCTTCACGGGGAGAAAGGTCTTTTACTTGCCTGAGGCTGGGATTGCAGGAGCTTTGATGTTGTACATCCCCAAAATGCTGAATTATGCTCCTCTGGGGCCCCGTTTGGGAGCAGAGACAGTTTTTAATGCCTTAACTGTAGTGTCCGGAAGGTGGCCTCTGTGCTGGGTGAGCCGCCCCTCCTAAACCTTATTTCACTGAACTCTGTTCTACAGATATCCCTGCTCAAGTCGAAACAGATTTTGCTCTTAGTCCCAAAGAGGATTTATTGCCATTGTTGAGATCTATTTAAATACAGCTCAGTGCTTTGCAGCTAATTAAGTTCGGGAGGAAAAGATGAAACGATTTTTAAAAACGAGAGTTTGACAAAAGTGGGCCTGGCCGTCTGGGAAAAGCAGGTCTTAGCTGGACAGCCCAGGGAGACGAAGATCTGCAAAATGGGGACAGATGAGACACTCCTAGAGGGCATCCTCTGCCCAGGGCCACACACACCCAGGCCGCCTCCGACCCACCCGCCAGCCTCCCAACGCCTGCCGAGGGCGCTGGGCTGACCCTGCTGGACCTGGAACAGCTTCCCGCCTGCTTCTGCTCACCGCAGGAACTTCCCATCCCAGAGGGCGTGTTACAGACCGAATTGTGCCCCCCAAATCAACATATTGAAGGCTTAACCCAAATGTGCCTGTGTTTGGAGACAGGGCGTTTAAAGAGGCAATTAAGGTTCAATGAGTTCGTAAGGCGGGGCCCCAGTCCGACGGAACTGGTGTCTTTGGAAGAAGAGGAGACAGCAGGCACGCACGTGCAGAAGGGAAAGGTCACCCCAGGACCCCCTGAGAAGCCAAAGCCAGAGGCCCAGGAGCAACCAGCCCTGGCAGCACCTCCATCCTGGACTTCCAGCCTCTAGAACTGTGAGAAACGAACTTCTGTTGTTTAAGCACCTCCATGACTTTGTTATGGCAGCCTGAGCAAACCAGGACAGGGCATGCCACCAAAATTCCTCTTTTTCTTATTATGCCATGTATGAGACCTAGACCCACTGAAAGTGAGGCAAATTTTTGTAACCCTAACCCTATAATCCCAGCATCCATGGATGGCTCTGAAGGGAGCAGAGAATCCGGTGGCATCACAAGGAATCCGGCTGGAAAGCTGGAAACCACCCCAGGGCACCACACAGGGAACATTCCTGAAGCACGCTGACCACACGCTTCCGTGGGAGGACAGTACGGGCATGGGTCAAATCACGTGCAGGGCTCCAGGTTTTGGAGACGGTGGCTTGGAAGGAGCTGCTTCCGAGTGGCGAGGCGTCGGGGCCGGCGTGAGGATGGGAGGCTGGCTCCCAGGCTGGTCCTCCCACTGTCCTGGGTGGGGCCCTTTGGACCAGAGGGGCTGCAGCCCCGAAACCGCTCGCGCTCTGCCCCGCCAGTGCAGACGCTGCTCAAGGCAGCCCCGAAGAGCGGACACGTTTGCTGTGAAATCAGAGTCAAAGGCGAGGACGGTTGGCAGACGGAGCCATCTGGTGCCACTTCTGTGGCATACATGGCAGCTTCAGAGCAAGAGTGACATATGCGTCTGTCGCATTGTTTGCAGCCCTGAGCCCGGGCAGGCGAGCGAGTGAGTGGCAGCTGCTGGATGCGGAGGCGGGTCCTGGGCTGCGTGGGCCGCGTGATCTGGAGTGTGGGGGACCTGGGAGAGCCATGGAGGCTCCTGCAGCCTTCCAGCTCTGTGCTTGCTGGGGCAGCCCTGGGAGGAGGCCCCACTGGAGCAGCGCAACAGGGCAGCATGAAGTCATGTCCTCGGTCTGGTTTGCCATGGGCGGGATGCTGGGCCTGGGTGCTGGGAGGATGGCAGCATTGCCCCACTGGCAGGGAGGGAGGTGATCATTGACGGATGGGGGTCCTGGCGTTCCCTGGGTGCTGGTGGCAGTTTTTCGGGGCGGGTAGGGTGCTGAAGTTCGCAGGTGTGTCCCTTCAGCTCTTTTTGCCACTCACACTCCCAAATTCCTGGCATCCTCGGCTTTGCCCGAGGCCGAGGCTCCCTTTGGTCTTTGGGCATCTCTGGTTCACCACCGGCAGGCAGCTGGACACTTCTCAGAAGCTCCGGAACCCTCGCCAGTCTCCAGGGTGCCCTTGAGACCTGCAGGGCAGAGGCCATGGGCCGCAGTAGCCGTCACGCAGAGGCCAAGTCTGGCTTCAGGGAGCCGGCCGCCTGGCCCGCCTGCCGGGACTGTGAATGCATTCCACGAGTCGGAGCACAAAGAGGTGGCCTTTCTGTGATAGATGGACAAGCCCTTTGACCTCGTGGAGCAACCTCCACCTCCCAGCCCTGTGCCCCGACGGGTTCCCTGGGGGCAGGCGGCAGAAACGACGGCAGGTGCCAGTCTCCACCCAGGTGCTTCGCCATCAGTGGCCCCTGGCTTTGCTCTCCCTCACAGTGGGCTGAAGTCACAATGACCTTGGGGACGGTGATTTTCCCAGGTGATGCTCCAGAAGCAGTGCTTGCCCACTGGCCAGGTGCAGGTGTCCCACGTGCTAAGTATCCCGCTGTGTCCGGCTTGCCCTGCACTTGCCAGCCCAGCCCACCTCCCAAGCGGGGTGGCTCAGTGCTTCCCTTCCTGGCTCCACCGTGCTCCGTGTGCCTCCCATGCTCTGGCCTCTTCTGATCACGCGCTGACCCAGCCAGGACGGGAGGCCCCTTCTCCCGCAGTCTCGCACTGTCCTGCACCCTCAGAGCTGGGGAGCCACTTGCCCATGTGGCGTTCTGAGGAGGCTGCTCTCGTGGAGCTGCTCTGACCCCGAGGTGGGGAGTGCAGGCTGGATCTCCGCTTTTCTTTTTCTGGCCAGTGCTGTAGAGTTTGTCCTCGTGCTGGGGGACTGTGATCTCGAAAGTGGGTCACTTAGGAGATTCCAGCGCCCCAAGCACTGACAACCGGGCACTACGCACGTTGAGGTGCAAGACCCCACCCCTGCCCTTTGTGGGCACATCGCTGCCGCGCACGCGGGCTGGGGGGCTTTTGCATTTCTGCGTTGCTGGAAAGCTGGAAAGCGTCTTTAGAGTTTGGTGGGTTAAAAATAGCTTGGCCCAATGTCCGCGATGAGGAAAGTCTTCTTGGGATGCAGAAAGAGAGGGGTCTGATTATGGCTAATGAGACTAAACCAAAAAAATCTCCATTTTTCTATATCTCACCAAATGGGAAATTTCTAAGAAATATCTTGCTGCGAAGGTGGCTCACCCACCCCGAATGCCACGTTTCCACTGGCCTGGGTGCCACCCAGCTCCTGGGCCCTGCCCTGCTGACAGCTCTCTCTCAGCAGAGCGCTCCCGCGGGAGCCCCTTTCTTGAGGAAGTATCTGCTCCAAGCAGGGGGCTCTTCCTCCAGCGTGCAGCTCCGCCGTGGGCACGCGCCTGGCAGGGTTTGCAGGTCCTCGGACGGCCCCTGGGAGCTCAGCACCAGGTGGAGGCTGCCCACCCGTCCAGCCGGCTCCTCTCTTCGCAAAGTCCCCATCTTGGGGACTGTCTCCCGGGCCCTCCTATAAAATGTCAGCTTGGACTAAAACCTGGAGCATCAGGTAAAGCACAGGAGGAGCAGTGGGATGGTCCCCGGCAGGGTTCCACGACCACGAGCTGCCTCTCCCGGGACGCTGGTGCCTGAGATGCCCTCACTTACCTCGTTGGGTTCCCAAAGCCAGACGTCGAAGGTTGGCTTCCGCAGGGCCTCGATGGTCTCGGGAGAGAGCAGGTACTGGAAGGACAGGAGTTCGGGGTTACCCGGGCACCGAGGGCCTCCGTGCGGACACAAAGGCTGTGACCCTGGTTGTGTGCGGAGGGCATTTCTCCTCCTCCTCCTGCTTCCTTTCAAAGATGCCTGTGCACAGACTCAGGCTGCATTCTCAGCCTGGAAAGGGCAGGCTCCGGGACGGCAATCCCACCCGTGGCTGGGCGAGCTCGGGGATGGAAATCCCGCCCGTGGTTGCCAGAGACAGGGGCGGGGGGAGGAGGGAGGTCGGGGTGATGGGGACGTTCCGTATCTTGATGGTGGTGGAGGTTCCATGACTAAGTAAGTTTGTCAAATTCGCAGTGCTCTGCGCCTAAAGAACTTGACTGCGTGTAAATCAGGTCTCAACAACCCTGACAATAAAAATACAACAAAGTGAAGTCAAGGGGAGAAAAATTCACTGGCATACATTCAAATACCGGCTAAGGAGCTATTTTGAGTTTCTCTTGCCGGGACTGTTCCTGGTCCTAGCCGCATGGGGACAACACACTCGCTGTCGCTGGCGCCCGGGGCGGTGCGGAGCGCCAGCGTCGGGGTAAATAAACTGTTGTGAGGAACAGAGGGCCGCGGTCTGAGACGTAGGACGGGAGCAGTGTTTTGGGATCACACACGGTCTTCTCCTAGGTCTTTTCATTTGTTTTTTTAAAAAAGAACTGATGTGAGTACCGATGCGTTTTATTTTGGGTCCGCGCTGTGCGTGTGCTTCCCGGGGGTGGGATTATGAGAAGCGTGGGTCCTATTTTCCTATGGAAAAAGGCACCAGTCTCCGTTCAAAACCCTCAGATGATATTCATCACCCTTCGGAAGCGAGTGGGAGCCTCACCGACAAGTGGACGCCAGTGGTCCACGCGGAGGCTCGTAGCCAGCGCTGGAAGCGCGGGCGGCGGCAGGACGTGCCTGGTGCACAGTTCAGGCCGCCTCTGCCGCGGGAGCCGAGCCGTCCGCATCTTGGCGCAAGGGCGTGTTAAGGACGGGGGAGGGGGGGCTGGGATTTCACTGCTCAGCAGCGGAAAGCGTTGGTGAGACGGTGACCAGCATCACCAGACCCTTCTTTTGTAGTTACTGGAAAAACAGGCACTGCTGCTCTACCAAGGGCCCGGTTCTCTTATAACTGAGAAAGCTTTTGTGCAAAAGAGTAAAACTTTCCATCACAACTATGTGCTGCTCAGGGACAGGAGAGCCAATGAAACGCATTTTTAAAAGTTCAGTTAAAAATTAAAGTAACATTTGAGTGCAAAGACCATTTACCAAGTCAGCAAAGGGAACTGAGCACAGACAGCAGCAAGGAGCTGTTATCTCCTTGCAAACTAAAGGGTGATCTGGGATCACTTTTGCTAAACAAATGTCAAAGAGAAAAAAATACTTTGCCTAAGAATAACCCACACCCCCCAAAGCCCAGGGACGGGGAGGGGCTGCTCTGCAAACGTGCCAATGGCGGGCTCCAGGGCCAGGGATGCGCGAGGCTGTGCACACGGAGCTTGAGTTTGTGCAGGGCTGGAATCTTGCCTCACCTTGGGGTAAGTGGGGACATCACGCCGAGGTGTCAACTTCTTGTTGTTATCCAAAAAACTATACTTACAGGGACAGTTGGTCCTACAGAGAAGAAGCAGAGATTAGCTTCAGTCTGGGCGTTCACCTGTGCACCCCACGGCGGGGCCCTCATCAGAGCCAAAGCAAAGAAAAAACCCAAACCTGAACCCCACAGACCCGTGCGGTCTTATTTGTTCTGGGAGAATCAGTCAAGCAGGCAGCGGGGACCCTGCCTGACTCTGACGTCATCGGGCTTGTGGAAAACACACAGAGCAGATGACGAAGGCTCCCTTCACTCTTAGATACGCTTCTAAAAAAGCTTTTTCTAAAGACACAGTAAAACGCTCTTGTTCTAAGAAATCCAAACAACACAGGAACAGAGAAAGTAAAAAGTATCTAAGTCCTCACTTTATCCACTTCTTTTCCCTGAATCTCACGTCCCAAAAAGAACTTCAAATGGTTTGGTGTTATCCTTCCAGAACATTCCTGGGCATGGACACGCATGGACAGCAGCCTGTACTTTGAAACAGAGGTGGAATTGCACAGATTTACTCTCTTGCACTTTGCTTTTGTCACCTGATGTACCCAAACTCATTCTGTGCTGCTGCACAGAGCTAACTCCGTTTCCTGATGACGTTGAAGTGTCTGCGTGGTCCCCCACGGCGTGGCTGTGGCACCTGCTATCAGTTCAGCCCCAACGCTGGACTTTTAGGATGTTTCCAACTTTCTGTGTTACATATAATGTTGGCAGACGAATCTTCTGTCTCTGTTTCTCTTCACCACTGGACATCAAGATATGCCACACAAGAACAGGACAAAAGGAGCCAGGTGTCTGTTGGAGGGAAAGCCACCCGCTGACGGGGCAGTGTGCTGCCGGCAGGGTCACGGGGGCTGACCGTGGAGGGCCTGCCCCGCCAGGCCTGGCCCCCGGCAGCGGGGTCCACCGGGGGGGGCTGGGCAGATCTAGGGACCATCTCAGACGTTCACCTGCTTGGACGCGAACACGCCGGTTCAGGTGGAGCCCGGTGGGGGCCGCACCCAGGTCATTTGGGATCCCCCAGGCTGGGGCAAGCACTGCATCAGCCAAGCAGCAGAAACTTGTGCAATTTGTAAACAAAGTTACCTCTTCTGGGAGAGCAACTGAAGACAGCAGAGTGAGAGCCGTAAAGACGCTGGCTCCCCTGAGCCACACGTCTGCTCTGGGGAATTCTTCTTAAGAAAAGAATGAAGCACGAGCAAACAGCTCTGCGCACACACGTATTCACCGCAGCGTTATCTGCTGTCACAGAAACACAAAGCCAAACCAGGGGCCCCCGAACGTCCCCAAAGGGGAAGTCGTTTAAGCCACCGTGATGCACTGCCGTCACGAAGATGGTTGCGGGTATTATTGGAAGTGAGTGGACTGTTAGTGAAAAGGAAAGACAAAAATGTGACGTGCGGTGTGCTCCGAAAGATAATGCCAGGAGGTTTACCAAGCTATGAGCAAAGAAGAATACATTTGGGGGGTTAAAAAAGAGTGCTCGATTGTGGCCTTCTGGAAAAATCTATGAGCTGCATGTTGGTTACAATTTAATCTATTTATTGTTCACAACATTGTAACAGGAAAATGGTTACAAAACAGTATTTTTTAGTTGCTTTTCAAAACTAGTTATCTATACACAGAGCAGGAATCCGTCCAGGTTTAACTGGGGCTTTGCTGGCGACCACCCGCTCGTCCCAGCAGCACAGGCTGGGAGTTCCACAAGGAGCAGACGCTATTTTCAAACTTCGGATAATAAATCTATTTCCTTTTCAAGAAAAGAGCCTTCAGTATTGCTCTCTTGGCAGGCCGCTCTCTCTTCCCTGGTGAATCCGCTACAGAAAGTCCTGTGCTGTCCCTTCCCGGGACTCGAGTCGCGACAACAGTTTGATGTGTAGAGGGGAATTCTGACAGATTTAGCAAAATAATAACATAACCAACCAACAAAACGTACCAACCAAACGATTTCCATTGTCACCCTGTAGTCGAGAAATCCCACTTAAACGTTTCCCAGCAGTAAGGGACGCTGCAGTTGGGAGAACAGACGGCAGGGTTATTAATCCTTCCCTGCTCTGACGTCGTCGGTATAAACATTCGCACACGTGCTGTCTCTGTAAGTCTTCTGCGTCCCCTGGGAGGGTCATGGAAGTCTTCACCAAGCAGGGTGGTTTGACAGCTGGAATCCAGCGGGAGATGGGAGATGAGCCTTCGCTGGGGCCGCTGACCCCGCCTGGCCAGGCAGCCCCTCGCTCTGCGCTGTTGCCACGGGAACAAGCATCCTCGGCGCACAGAGCAGCTGGCACGGAGCCTTCTCTTGTCATTCTATTTGGAGCTTTCACTTGCTGGGCTCCCCATCCTCCCCTGCCCTGGGGCTCAGGCCAGTGGTGAAGGCCAAGTGTTTAGGGCGACAGCAGAGGTTACAGAGCCCCGGAGCCCTCGGTTGCCACCCCTGCTCCTGCAGCCTCCCCAGCCGGAGAGGACTGGCCCATTCTGCACTGCCCGCGGGTGCTGGGCCAGAGTCCTGCCCTGCCCTAACTGGCAGCCGGCAGCTGGGCCTCTTCCCTCAGGACAGGGCAGCCTGCTCCGGGGTGCCGTCGGGCACGGGACAGCTGTGTGCATGTGAACGCAGGTCAGTCCTCAGGCTCACGCCAGCTGTGCAGCACAGGGCTGGGCTGACCCGCCTGCTGTCCTCTCCTCTCTGCTCCCTGCGGAGGCAAGAGCGCCCGCCCCTGGCTGGGCCGACATCTCAGAAGTGTGATTTCCCTCCCTGAAGTGCAGGTGAAGTGACATTTTAACACGCCTAGTCCCAGGGACCTCAAATTGCTACATGGCACTCACGCGTGGTTACAAGGGAACCTGCCGCGAGCGACAGAAGGGGTAACACAAACAGCCTCTTGTCTCTATTCTGAGTTTCTTTCTATATAAAGAAAAGGGAAGGGTTTTGCGCGGGGTAGGAAAGGGGCCTGGGGTGGGTGACATTGCTGTGGATGAGACCGGAGCCTAGGACGCCGGGTTTGTTTTCTCTAAACGTGTAGGCAGCGCTGAGACTGTCACCCCCTTCCGCTTTGGATGGAAGCGTCCCATGTATCTGTCTCTCACCTACGCGGGCTGCTGCCAGAGCTGTCTGCTGAGAATGTCGCCTCTACAAGCCTGATGGGGACTGGAAAGTCTCCTCTTTTGCTGATGGCGCTGAGAGCTCTAAAAATGTACTTCCAGGGGGAGCGTGGACAAACACACCCTGCTCGGAGGAGCCCACACGCTCACGCGCCCGAGCTTGCCCCCGACGCCTGGCGGCTGGCTTCCTCCACGTGCTCTGCCTTCCCCACGAGGCGTGTCGTGGCTGGATCAGGTCCCCCTAAAAGTCTCATGTGGAAGTCCTAACCCCTGACGCCGTGGACACGGCCTTGTTTGGAGGCAGGGCTGTTGCAGATGTAAGCAGTCGAGCCGAGGTCAAGGTGACCCCTACGCCAATGTGACTGGTGTCCTTATAAAAAGGGGCCTTTGGACCCAGAGACAGACGCAGGGAGAATGCCAGGCGAAGACGGGTGGGCTCTGCAAGCCAAGGGGCGCACAGGACGCGCCGGCAACCACCAGGCACGGGGAAGGAGATGCTAGGAAGTGTCCCCGGAGCCTTCAGAGGTGGTGGAGCCTGCGACACCTTGATCTTGGGCTTCCAGCCTCCAGAATGGAGAGGATAAATTTCTGTGCTTTTAGCCCCCAGTTGTGGCACTTTGTTGTGGCAGCCTAGGAAAGTACTACGAGTGCCACAGGGCTCTGGGGGGTGTCTGTGAGGGTCCCTCAGACCACACAGACAAGACCCCTGACCTACCCACGGTTGCGGTGGGCAGGGGACACAGTCTCTGGGTGGTGGTCGCTGCACAGATGACAGGCAGGAGCCCAGAGGCCAATGCTCAGGGGAGTCTAGTTTTAGGTGCAGACCAGAGCTCGCTCTCAATCCTCTTTCTGCTCTTGCTGCACGTGGCGTGGGGGACGCTGGCCCTGCAGCACCCACAGTCCCTGTCCGAGGCAGCCTGCCCTTGCCTGGCTCTGGGCAGAGGGGAGCCATGCCAGGTGGCACCACACTGGGCCACCACCCTCCCACCACAGTGGAGAAGCGCCAGTCTGGGGCAGGATGGGGGTCCAGCATGTGGCAGCGGGGGTGCAGGGAGGGCAGACGGCCGAGCCGAGCCGTGTAGAACCCAAGGCCAAGGGTGATGCCACGGCACGGGGCACTGTGGTCTGAGTCTGCTGAGCCAGGTCCCGGCCTCGGGGCTCAGATGCATGGCTGCACCCGTGTGACTCTGGAGCTCTTCCCTGAGGTCACGTAGAGGGACTTGTCTGTCCCTTAAAGAGCCTCCCACCATGGGGACGGCGAAGATGAACGGCTCACTCCCCATCTTGCACGGGCACACATTCCTTGGTGCCGACTCCCCCAAGTCAAACGGGACAAGACGTCTCTGACTCCAGATGAGCCCACAAGGAATGTGACATAAACGAGGCACAGGCCCCCGAGGACACGCTAATGGGGCTCAGCCTGGCCTTCCTCCCTGCCTTCCTCTTCGGTACATTAGTCGCACTAACCCCGCCGAGGCCTGGCAGTAACTTCCGCAGTTCTTCAAAAGTGTGGCGCTCTGGGGGGCGCTGGGCCACATCACAGCCCTGTGGCCTCCCGGAGGGTGGCAGTGGGTGTGAAGACACACCCAGGAGGCGAGAGCCGGCCCTGCGTGCTGACCACGCAGCACTGCGCCAGCGTAGGTGCTGTGTTCGTCATCGTCACCGTCGTCCTCATCGTCACCTTGTGTCCCCATCCCCAATTTGAACGTGGTTCAGCCACATGTGTTGTGACCGTGATTTCAGTAAAGGGTCCTGCTGGACCTTCGAGGTGGCGTCATGAAGCCTGGGGCATCGTTCGCACGAATCACAGCTCACGGGGCGCAGGAGCGAGCGAAGGGTGCCTGTTTCCAAAGGGCGTGTGATTTCTGCGTCCACATGGCCGGGGCCCTTGCAGGACCGCAGCCCTGACGGCTCAGGGGACGTCACACGGGGAGCGGGGGCCCTGGGCGTACCATGAGGCTCATCCCCCAAAGGCCTTTTTCTTCTTATTGTTCTTTCTTTAAAAACTGATGTCGACTTCTTTCGAGCTGGATGAAGTACTGCCACCCCTGGATCTGCAGGAGGGTCGCTCCCGTTACGTGAAGTCGTCCTCCCCGCACCCTGAGCCGCGGTTGCTCTTCCGCCGTCAGAGACCTGGTGACCGAGTGGCAGGTCCCAGGCAGAGCGGCGCCTCCACGCCGTGCTCCCCAAGCCAGAGCCCACGGAGTCGCGCCAGCCCACGGTCCCCGCCGACGGCAACAGCCGCCCTCGCAGGTCCGGCTGCCCGCTGTCGCCCGGCCGGACCTTACCTGCTGCTCCTGGCCGCCAGCTCCTCCCTCATCTTCTTAATGTCACTCTTGCATTTCTCGATCTCCACCACTTTTAGTCCTTCCACTGGTGACAAAGAGAGACAGCAAGGGGTTACCAGGGACGAACGCGGAGGCTCTCGCAAGGCTGGCAGCTACGGCGGTGGGGGGGCTCCCACTGCTGCCCCCTCCTCCCCGCCCAGCTCAGCCACGACTGACTCTCACGCCACAGGCATGTTCCGTGGCCACGTCGGAACCACTGCATCCTTCCAACTGCTGAGTTTCCAGGGGACCCCCCTCCCCACTCCCCTAATCTCCCCTCACCCCCTTATTGCTCCATACCCCTAAGCACCAGCTGAGGATAAACAAATCTTTTATTCCAAAAAAAAGAAAAAAAAAGAAAAGGGTGGAAATGTGCCCCCATGCATTAAAATGCAGGGAAAGGCACAGCTTTCTCAGCGAGGATTAAGATCTCATTAAGATAAAAGCTTTCCATTTTAAGGTCCCCCTAGGGCAGTTCACCAGGAGAAACTGTTGACTCAAAACAGATGAGAAATAAACAGGCGCAGTTAAGGCTTAGCAGAACTCAGGCTTGGTCACACTCCGGGAGCCCGCGGCAAAGGTGGCCTCAGCAGTCAGGGCACTATTTTTCATCAGAAAACGACCTGGCGCTTACGCCGCCAAGTGAGTGTTAAACTTCAGGACGTTGGATCTTGGCAGACTGCACGCTTAGCTCAGAAACGCTGCCATGAAGCAAGCAGCTTCGCAAAGGCTTTTAGATTACAGTCGGCTCATAAGACATGAGAAGGCTTGGTTACTTGGTGATCACACCTCAATTTTTATGCAAAAAGATACAACCCACAATGCCTCCGTATGCCCCTTTTCACCAAGCGCGGCTCTGAAAAATGCTAAAAATAATATGTGAGTGATTCCTAAAGAAAAAACAAAGCAACTAGGAGACTTGGGCTGGTTTCTAACAAGCCCCCGCCACCCACCCAGAAGGAAGCGCCTCAGCTCTAGAGAGCGGGTGCAGGACGGGTCCTCCCAGGGCAGCTTCCCGGGTGGGTCTTCCAGGCATTTCTGGGGCCAGAGACCAAGCGGGTCCTTGGCTTCTTGAGGACATTGCTTCTTTCTGCCCAAAAGGACGAGAATCTGGAGGGTCTGGTATTTGGATCCGGCTGTGCTGACTTGCTCTGTGCCAAGGAAACCTTCTGTGCCCCTCATCTGCCCAAAGACTGGGGGACATGGGGACCAAAATACGGGGCCTGAAGTATATGTGGCTGGAGCCATCGAGGTCACTGTCCTGATGGCTGGGTCTGGAAGAGCTGCCAGGGAAGACGCGGGCACCTGAGGGCCGGGGGGACACGAGAGCACCTGGGGGCTGCTACATTTTCATGCAACCACCGAGAGTCCACACCTCCCTCTGAGTGGGGGTCTCAGTGCCTTCTGCACCACGGGCCCCGTGAGGACGCTGATGAATGCCAGGGGTTGTCCCCTGAGCAAAGGCGCCCAGCTTACCACGTAGGTTTGCACGTGGACCGGGACGCCCAGCGCAGCCTCCCAGGGCATCTGCAGGCCTGTCCAGACTGCAGAGGGTCCCACCCTGAGGGCCCGAGGATTTGCCACCAGGACCCTGACACAAGCCAAGGGTGGAGTCAACACAAGTGGAAAGAAGGAGCTCAGTCTTGGTGACACGAGAAAGGCAGCAAATTCGGAGAGTGAACAGATCTGGGAAGAAACATGCCCACACATGCATCCCGTCTATGTATGTATCTATTCCTAATTTTAAAAGGCAAAACTGGGATCAGGCCATTTGTTTTGTTTTCCAACTTGCTATTTGTACCCGTCAATAGCCACGCGCCTTCCCCGTGTTAGCAGCCGGCCTCCCAGCTCATGGTTTCCTGCCTCCCCCACCGCAGAAAATGCTTATTTATCACACTTAAGCAGGATAAATAAACACCAATGACTTCATGTCAGTTCAGATCAAATTTTGCTGCTAATGAGTTTGCAACAAACCTACAATTTTTTTCTTTTCATTTTTCAACATAAGGCACTGTTTAAATAGCCCGTGGTTTTCAGTGGGTGCACGACGTCTGGATTGGTGCTGGGGTTCGCTGGGATCAGCTTCCCTGGCCTTTTACTGGGCTGATGTTAAAATTAAGCCTCTCAGGCAACACAGCACAATGTCTCCAGTTTGAATTCCAGAGAATCGGAATTTACAGCAATTAAGTTTATGGCGAGACTGTTTGCCAAGGAAACTGATAGTAACAAGACGGCAAAGTTGAGCATTAATCAGCGGAAGAGAAAAACAACATGTCACAGAATGACAGAGCTGGAAGGGAACGTCTGGAGGAGGAGGTGGCCCGGACAGAACAGTGCAGCGTCCTGGGGCTCCTGCCTCCCTGGCCTTTCTGGGACACTGGGCTGCCTCTGGGAGGATTCCACAGCCCACCTCACTGGTCCATCCCAGCCCCCTCCAGCCCAGGGAAGAGCAGGCCAGTCCGATGGGACATGGGGCTCATGCCGAGAGGCCTACACGGACGATGGGAGAACAACAGGCCGCAGGGTCCTCGGTCCTGGCCCACTCGTCTGTCCACCCTCAGACTTTAAGCATAGGTGGGCACAGACCAAGCACCCCAGACTAGAGCAGAGGCCCCCCAGCCCACTCAGCACAGCTGGGGCCCTTGGACACGCAGACTTGCAGAGTCAGCACCATCTGGAGGCCCCGGGCTGTCCTCTCGGGCTTTAGGAGAGATTTTTATGGGCTTCTCACAGACACAGGCCACCTGGAGTAAGAGCTTCACGAGCGGTTTTCTAAGAGAGACGCTGGTTCCAGGAAGGGGCCTGGTGGGCAGGGGAGCGATCCTTCTTCAGCTGCCCCACCGGGCAAGGCCGCCGGGAACCTGGCGGGCCCACTCCTGTGGCTGCAGAGCTAATAAAAGCTGTTTAAAGACAGCATGGAAAGAGCTGTGTTCCAGTGCTTCCTCCGAGGGCTTCGCAGAGGGTCTGCCCGAAGCGCACTTCTGAGCGGCGAAGACAAAAGCAAGGCTTGCTTTCAGTATCCAGTCTCTGCTGGGGTCTTTGCGTGACTTGTGTTAAACTTCGCCCCTGGGGTCAACTCTGGCTGTGGCCCACACTGTGTTTAGGTTCTGGCCCAAGCACGGGGCCTGGGGACAAAGGGTGGATGGAGCAGGGCCGCCCCGAGCCCTGCCGCAGACCAGGAGGGGAGTGAGCAGAGAGCCCCGCGAGGTGGTCTCCAGCCTCACGTGGTGGGAGCCGGGTGCCGCGTTCATGAAATACTCTTCACTCTGAGAGAAATGCCAGATTCCTGGAAGAAGGCTAAACGTTTTATATAAAAGAGAAGAAACACTTTGAAAGTCAATTCAGAGAAATGGAGAAATCTGTATCTGAGTCAGAGGAATTATATATTCAATAATGTCAAAGAATAAGTAGGAAATCCCTTTAAGACAAGTCCGTCGCCATGTAATATTCCTATATTTTAAAGATGGCCACTTCTAGAGGTGAGTCCTTTAACTCAGGAGCAGAAAACAGCTCATGACAGCTCACATATACCAGAGGAAGCTGTGTGTGAGCACACACATGTATGTGCGTGTCTCTGTGAGGGTGTGCATGTGTGTGTGCACGTATATGCACCTGTCCCTGTGTGTCTATGTGTGTGTACGTAGCTGTGCATCTTTGTGTTTATGTGTGAGCACGTATGGGGGTGTGTATGTGAGTGTATCTGCATGTGTCTGTTTACACTTGTGTGTATGTGAGTGCATCTGCATGGGTCTCTGTGTTTCCACGTGTGTGCATGTGGGTATGTCTATGTGTCAGTGTTATCTGCACGCCTGTGTGTTTGTGTGTCATGCGTATGTATATGTGAGTTATCTGCACCTTTCTCTGTGTATTTACACATGTGTGTACAGTGAGCGTCTATGCGAGCGGCACCCCTCTGGCCCGGGCCCAGCATAGCAGCATGTCCACGGGGCTCCTGGCCACCTCCCCGAACAGCTGGTTCCCGGCAGCTGTGCAGGGTCAGGGCTGCCCTCCGAGAAGCTGGGCCGAGCAGTTCCCCAGGGGCCTGCACGAGAGGTGCAGCTGCAGGCCCCTTCTCCTCGGAAGGACTCCCCCTTCTGCCCTCCGCAGTTCCCGGAGTGTCTGGCTACCCACGTCTTTGGGCGAGGCTGTGTCGTCTCTGGGGGTCCCTCTGGAATTCATACTCTCTAGGGCTCAGCTCGGGTGCGGCACCCTAGCCACCTCCTGCTAACGCAGAGGTCACTGGAGCCCAGGAAGCGGACAGCGAGGGGCACCCAGAGAGGTCGAGCCCACAGCCAGTGGAGTCCCTAACATCAGCGGAGACAATAAATCCACCTCGAAGATCCAATGACCAATGAACTTTAAAAATGTCGACACACTTTGGAAAGTATCAATACGACTATGGAAACCACTTTTCAACTTATTTAGATGAATCAGTTTCTGCACGATCCAGAATTTTTTTCTTGAAAAAATTACAAGCAATACGAACAAGATACGAAAAGCGACATTCAGTCAATCTTAACAAATCCCAACCAGCCAGATTTTTTTTGATGGTTCCGTGACCCTTAATGGCCTCCTGCTTGGATGCTGTTTACTTAGTGTCTGGATGAGTGACCGTGGTGTCCATCCGTCCTTGGCCTTTGCCCTGACACCAACAGCGCTCTCCGCGCCGGCGAGCTGTGGGTTGAGCGCAGAACCGTGAGGCTCGGGGCCTTCAAGCACTGATCCTTACGGCTGAGGACACAAAGCATGAGTGGCTTGAAGCTGTCTTCCTCGCAGAATGAGAGCTTTTTGGTAACTGAATCGAGACTCGAACCAATTCGTTTCCTCACTAGCTTTCTGGTTTCCTTTTGCGTGACTGAAACCCACAGGTGACGACGTGGCAGACACACGCCGAGAGACCGTGGAACCACAGCGTGCAGGTCAGTGTGTGGACACTGTCCGCATTTATGCAAAAAGGGACCCCGCGGGATCCTTAGGGGAGGTTCCAGGCGGGGCAGGGCGTCCGGCCACGCTGTCCCGCACGGGAAGAACGCCTGCGCCACGCGCTGCGCTGCTTTTAACACAGGAATAAAACGCTCAGCCAAGGACGTTCTAGCCTTCGTTAACATCAGCGGTAAATCGGAAGCATTTCCCTTCAGCGCTAAGCCCCTCCCCGCTCCAGGTGGTTATTTGAGTAGAGGTTAAAGGGCAGACACGCGAAAAGGAAACAAACCCACTCACATTCGACCCTTTTCTCCAGCATTGCCAAGTGATTCGCGACTTCGGCTTTCAGTTCGTTGATTTTAAACGCTCTAGGAATGAAAAAAAGAGAGAGGAAACATAACCCTTGGTATTCTCAGAGCTAACACTGGTTTGGCAAACAGCTACTGGGGCTGGGGTGGGGCCCGGGGCCGAGAGCCAGGAGCTGCTTTGCAGAACTCACCGTCCCGCGGCAGGAGAGCACTACCGGCTACCGTGAGGAGTGTTTTCTAACACGGACACACCCTGCTGCGCCACACGGGCAGGTGTACTCACGGCCTCAGGCCTGCGCAGTGGACACGAGGTCTCTGCTGGTGAAATGGGATAGCCCAGTCCCCACGGTCTGCTCTGATGGGCACAGACACCCTCAGGGGATCTGGTCTCCTCTCTGGAGGCTCCAACCCACTCAGTTAAACAATGCAGGAGCTTTTAAAAACCGGTATCCACCTGCCCTTTCCCCCATTTTAATTACTCAGGGGCAGTAAGATGCCAGAGAAATCGGTTTGACAAAGTGCGAATACGGTATTTATGTTAGAACTGGTGGGATGACTCAGAATGAAAAGGAAGCAGCCCGGCTACACAGAGTCCCAGTGAGAAAGCGTATTTTTAAAATGCTGTCAATTCTGGCAGATTATCCTCCTGGTCCCCGAAGAGCCAGGGGAGAAAATTCTCATTCTCAAAGTGCCTACTGGACAGGGCCTTTGGCATAGGTGAGCTTCCCTGACCCCGCCCAGGCTGGCTCAGCTACAGAATCACAAAAGGACTGCACTTCGGGGTTAGGGTTAGGGGGTGATACATCCCAGCCGCCAGCAGGCCCGCCTCGCAGCAGGAGAAAAGCCCCCGTCTCTGCATAGTGCGTGCTCAGAAGAGTCTGTACCTTGAGAACTGCTCTGCAACCTGGGCCAGCACGGTCTGGACGAGCTCTTCTCTCTCTACAAAGCAAAGCAGACAGACAGATGGAACACAGGCGACAGGGAAGGACGTGCGGGGCACCGTGGGCCCGAACCCTCCTGGTGAGGACGCAGGAGCTGAGGAGCTTCCTGGGTTACCTGGAGGGACGCTTTGGCCTCCTGTGAACAACTGGGCCTCCCACCTTCCACTCTTTCCCTCCCGGGCCCGCAGAGGTTGCTCAGCGGTGTCCAGGGCTCGTGGTCTCCCGTCCTTGGCACCAGCTATAAAAAGCAGGCAGGACCGGGTCTCTAAACATGGGAAGTTTTCTCTTGGTGCCTGGGTCTATTTTATGGGGGCAATTACTGTGACAAAGGGAGTTCAAGTGCAAAACACGGTGTTCTCATGCCGGTCTGTGGAGAGGAAGCTGGCCTGGTCAAGCCAGTTTGTCCCTTTGTTGCCCGGCCCGTAAAACTGGGCTGGGCGGCTGGTTTTATAAGGTCCACCCTGCCTGGTTCCCTGTTTCCTGGCCAGGCCCAGGCTGGACCTACACCAGGCTCAGTCTCGAGTTCATGTCCTCTACGCTGACCTAATGCCCAACCCTCCACTGTAAACAAAATAAATAAAAACAAAACAAAACCAGTCCAAACAGAAAATCCCAATAATCCAATTCGTCAATAGGGCTCAGAAGCTACAAATGCTCATATCCTCTGACTCAGTGTCCCATCTCTAGGAAATAATCAGGTGTGTACACAAAAGATGTTCGTCACGAGGTTATTCAACAGTGAACCTGTAACAGCCTACGTGTCCTCGAATACAGATTTGTTAAATAAATGATAGTGTATCTGTGCTGTGAAATCATACTCTGCTATTAGAAATAACATCTTGAAAATGTTCACATTTATTGTTAAAGTAAAAAAAAAAAAAAAGGTTTCAAAACAGTCCTGCGGAGTGATTCCACTTTTGAAAACACCTTGGGAAGGTACACTCCAAAATAATGGTAGTTATCCTTTGGTTATAAGATTATATGTAAATTTTGTTTTCTTATTTTTGTTTCTCTGTATCTTATGCATTTTTTATAATGAACATATAATTAGTTTCATAAAAAGAAAAAACATTTAAAAAAATGATCAATTTAAATTAACCTCTCAAGACCTCATAGCTTCACCTGCCAAAGGAGAGGGCAGACCAGCTGACCTAAGGTTCCCTTGGACTTTAGCATTCAATGACTTGATAAGAAGAAGAAAAATGATGTTTTATTGTGTCTCTTGAAATTGTAAGAATACAAATGTCATCCGGGAAACTGTCACAGAGCCACGGGCTGAGCTGCTGGCTGGTGCAAGGCCACAGCCTTCAGAAAGGCCCCCACCTGCCAGGGAGGAGAAGTGACTCCATCAATAAGGGTGACCATGAGGTTTCACAGGCCTCTTTGGTGAACCCGACAGGGTTTTAGGTCACTTATTATGAAATCTTTGGATAACATATAACGTGTGACATAAACTTTAAGAGTTAATGATCTCGGGGTCTTGAGATCAATGCAGAAGTCCATCAAGCATCCAGCGGTTACGGACCACTTCACCTAGCAACCGCAGGTGCTGTTCCTCTCAGGTGCTTACAAGCACGCGCCAACACAGACCGCGTCCTGGGTCACAGAGAAAACCTCAACACATTTGAGAGAATTGAAACCGTACAGAACATATTTTTTGACCATAAGAGAATCAAACTAGAAATCTAGACTAGAAAATCAAACTAGAAATAGCAGAAAGACGGCAGAAAAAGCTCCAAATGTGGCAACTAAACAACACACGTCTAAGCAATTCATGTGTCAAAGGAGAAGTCTCAAGTGAAATTTAAAAAGACACTGAACTCAAAGGACATTTAGCTGTGGACACAGCTAGAGCAACGTGGCAGAAGTTTACGGCACCAGGTGCTTATGTTAGAAGAGAGGAAAACGCAACTCCATAATCAAAGATCCCATCTTAGCAACCTAGGAAAAGAACAGCAAATTAAACCCACAACAACAGCAGAAGGAATGGAGGAAATAATGAGGAAAAGAGTAGAAATGAACTAGAAGACAGCAAAACAACGCAGAAAATCGATGAAGCAAACAGCTATTAAAAAGTTATTTGAAAATATCAATAAATTGACAAACTTCTAGCACGACTGACAAAGAAACCGGAGAGAAGATGCAGATTATTGGCATCAGGAATGAAAGGGGGCATCACTGTGACCCTGCAGACAGCAAAAGGACGATAAGGGAAGCAACGAACAACTCTAGACACATTCATTTTACGTCTGAGACAAAAAGCACCAGCTCTTAGGAAAGTGTGGGCTATCACAACCTATTCAATATGAAACAGGTCATTTGAATACCCTGTGACTACTAAGGAAATTCAATTTGTAATGTTAAAAACTTCCTGAAAAGAAATTTCCAGGCCCAGATGGTTCCACTAGAGAATTCTACCAAACATTCAAAGAATAAACACATTTCAAAACAATCTCTTCCAGAAATAGAAGAGGAGGGAACACATCTCAATTCATTTTATAAAGTTAGTATTACCCCGATACCAAATCCAGACAGAGATGACAACAAAAACTACAGACCAATGTCCCTTCATGAATACAGACAAAAAATCACTAACAAAATACTAGCGAATGGAATTCAGCAGCATATAAAAATAACTGTGCATGAAGATTAGGTGGGGTTGGTATCAGGGGTGCAGGGCTGGTTCTATATTTGTAAACCATCCATCCCTAGATTACTCACAATACCTAATGCAAAGTAAATACTATGCAAATAGTTCTTACACTGTCTTTTTAAAATGTTTATTATTTTTTATTGCTGTATTGTTTCTACCTGTGGTTGGCTGAACCCGCAGATGTGGAACCCACCCATGCAGAGGGCCGACTATGCTTAATAATGAAAGGCTGAATGCTTTCCTCCTAAGATCGTGACAAGGCAAGGACGTCTGTGCTGTTATTCAGCATAGTGCTGGAAGTTCTAGCCAGTGCAATAAGGCAAGAAAAAGAAACAGAAGGCACACAGACCAAAAGGGAAAGGAAAAAAACCCTGTCCCTATATGCTGTTGACATGACTGCCTACATAGACAGTCACAAGGAATCTACAACAAATCCCTCCTGGAACTAATATGTGAGTTTAGAGGTCAAAGGATAGAAACATATATAAAATTCAGTTGTATTTATATATATTAGTAATGACCATGTAGACATTAAAATTAAAAATACAATACCATTTACAATCACTAAAAAAGGAAAAAACAACTTAGGCATAGACATGGGCAGATGTTGTATGCTGAAAACTACAAAACACTGGTGAAGGAAATCAAAGAAGATATAAATAAATGGCAAGACTGACTAGGTTAATGGGTTGGAAGTCTCCACATGGTAAAGATGCCAATTCTCCCCAAATTGGTAAACAGGTTTAATGTAGTTTCTATCCAAATCCTAGCAAGATTTTTTTTTTGTAGAAATAAAGGTTATGCTAACATTTATATAGAAATGCAAAGGAACTAGAAGAGCTAAAATGATTTTGAAAACCAAGACAAAATGGGAGGCCTCAGTCTATCTGATTTTGAGATTTATCATATAGCTACGGCAATGAACACAGTGAGGTATTGCCGGAGGACAGCCGGGGACAGCGATGGGACGGAACAGAGGACCCCTGCCACACCCACATGATGTGCAAGAGCAAAGGAAGGGAGAGGAGGGAGCCTTCCAACAATGGTGGACACCCACAGGCAGAGAAAAAGCCTCAACCTAAAACTCGCAGTTTAAATAAAAATCAATGCAAAATGGACCATGGATGTAAAATGTAAAACTATAAAACATTTAGAAAAAAAGACAGAGAAAATCTTCAGGATCTTGGGTAAGGCAGGGAGTTTTTAAGACTTGACACCAAAAATACAAGCCAGAAAAGGAAAAATTGATAAACTAGACTTCGTCGAAATTAAAATTTTTGCTCTGAGAAAGATCCTGTTAAGAGGAGGAAAAGACAAGCTACCGTCTGGGAGAAGATACCTGCAAGCCACATGTCTGACAAAGACATGAACATAGAACATGTACAGAACTGTCAAAACTCAACAGAGGAAAACAAAACCATCCAGCTTGAAAACGGGCGAGAGATGAGCAGACATATTTCTGAAGTGGGTGTACAGACGGACAATGGTGAGAAGACGCACCATTGGGCATTAGGAAGTGCGAATGCAAGCCGCGGTGAGACGCGCTGCACGCGCATCCGAAGAGCTGAGACGAAGCGCAGCGAGAACGCAGCGCTGCCGAGGGTGCAGCAACGCCAGCTCACTCGCGGTGCCCGCGGGAATGTGAGCGGGCACAGGTGCTCTGGAGAACAGCCTGGCGGCTTCTTAAAAAAGCTAAACACACAACTACTGTCCACCTCGCCTTTGCACTCCTAGCTCGAGAGATGAAAACTATGTTCACACAAAACCTGCACATGATACTCGGAGCAGCTTTACCCGTCACAGCCCCAAACTGGGGACCACCCAGACGCTCTCCCAGGGCGAGCGCGTGAACAAGCTGTGGGTCACCCACACCACGGGATGACACTCAGCAGTGGAAGGGAAGGAACCACTGCCACAGACAACTCGATGGCTCCCAGAGGACGACGCTGAGTGCAAACAGGCAGTCCCCAAGTTGCCTCTGTGTGGTCACATCCACAGAACATCCCAGAAACGACACAAGTATACACATGGAGACCAGATCGGTGGTTGCTGGGGCTTAGGGTTGGGCAGGGAACAGAAGGGAAGTGTGTGGCCACGGAGGGCCGGCGGGCGGGAGGGACCCTGTGGGGACAGAACGTCCTGGATCTGGATCTGGACTGAGTCAGCGTAAGTCCCTAGCTGTGACATTATACTGCTGTTGTGCAATGTGTCACCGTTGAGGGAAGCGGAACAAAGACTGCCTGGCTCTCTCTACGTTTGTTCTCACAACTGCACGTCGACCTGCAGTTACCTCAAAATAAGACACTTAGAGACGGAATGGAATCAGGAAGGTAAAGAAGAGTCTT